TCTCGATCTCCTGACCTCGTGATCCGCCCGTCTCGGCCTCCCAAAGTGCTGGGATTACAGGCATGAGCCACTGCGCCCGGCCTGTAAATGTTTTTAATTCTTTTATTTTTAAATTAAAATTTTACTGTAAAATTTTCACACAAATACTATGGAAGAGAACATTATAATGAATTCTGTCTACTTATCACCCGGCTTTAACATTTATCAACATTTTCTTTTGCAATACCATATACCCCTTCTCAGTGGAGTTTTTTTTTTCTCAGTGAAGTTTTTAAAGCTAATATTATTCCACCCATAAATATTTCCACATGAATCCCTAAAAGATAAGTCATCTTCTTTTTAACAGAACTGCATTACTGACAAAATCAACAGTAATTCTTAGGCCCGTGGTAGAAATGTGTGTTCACTAATGGACTTCCACAGATGTTTTCTTAGACCGTCCTTTGGGAGAAGGAAGAGAACCTGAGATCAGCAGAGTCTAATTCTCTAAACATATTTTTAAGCCGAGTCCCAGAGACAGACATAACTGGTCTGAAGGCATCCAGCATGCCCACATGAGTGTAGGTTCAGTTCCCTGAAAACAAGTTTCCCACCTGCTGGAACTGAACACATTGGGTAGATAACTTCCCACCACTGTCAGGTAGAACTTCCTGTCAGAAGCTGAGCTGTGAATAATGTTTAGGAGTTCATCAAGTGAAAGGAATTATATCTTTACAACTCCTCATCCACATCCTCCAAAAAGCGGAGTAAAGAGGTGTTAAACAGCTTCAGAATTTCCACAGAGGAGAAGCTAAAGGTCAGAGACTGCATTTAAAGCTTCATTGACATGGTAAGGCGATTGTTATTAATTATATTTTAACTTCAAGGTAAATAAAAACAGTTTTCTTTAGGTGCTTTTAGTCACACGTTGGCCATACTAAAGACTATTAGTGTTGTTATTATTGCTGCCTACTACAGTTGCACTTGAGGTAGTTAGTGTGGAGGGTAATGCGTAATTCAAATCTCTATTCACTTTCCTACCCGACTTAGCCCTTCAGAAGTGGACGCGTGGACTTCTCCTCCCTCCTCTGGTGGTATCTCCTAGGAGAGGATTGTATTAATACTCCCGGATTTCTACCCTATTTCCAAAAGTGGTTTCTCCCATTAAAAGTTGTACCACCCTTCCTGCAGTCTACTACTCATTCAGATGTCTCTCAGACTTTCAGGGTGGTTTCACTCAAGAGATGACTCCCATAGTGACCTTTCCACCTTTTCCCTGAATGGCATCTCTAAAAAGTGGACTGTACTATCCTGATTCCTCCTATTATCTGCCTGTGGTTTCTCCCAGGATCCTCTTCTCTTGGTGATTTTTCCCTGGTGGTTTCTTCCAGCAGGTAATTATTATCCTCAGTGTCCTGTATTCAGAAGGGTAACTTAGCTTTCCTAAATACAACATACAGCGCCAGACCCACATTTCCAGTAACTTTCTCCTCCAGAGTAGACGCCTAGTCAGACAAGGGTCACACTCCAGCGTCCTATGTAACTATACATGCCTCGCTCTAGGAAACCCTGCCGGCGGCCAATTCCTCTGTTCTACGGAACGGATATGCTTCCAAGATGGCGGCCCACACGAATAAATACCACAAAGGCGCGGCCATGTTCTCTGCCGTACAGCGCCACATTACGGAAACTGTGCGCTGTGTCTGCGCCCTGTTGACTGTTCGCTGAAATTGGCTTCTAAGTTTATTCAGAGCATGCGCCATATCAACAGCCTACAAAGGGGAGGTGCTAGAAGTCGGACCGGAAGTGGAAGCGGTTCTCCAAGGCTTTTTTGCCGCTGGTGTCAGGAGTATTTTCATATCCCAATACCGAGAAATCTTTGAGGTGATTTTGGTTGGTCACGACTGGGGTTTCTGTGGAGCCAGTAATAGGGGGTGTCGAGGTTGCCTGTGGAGTTAGAGATTGTTTTGAGGGTTCGGTGATGGGGTTCTGTGGCGTCCGTTGTTGATTGTGACGGATTTCTCGGGTCATTGATGGGGCTCTTGGAGATGAGTGATAGAGGTTTGGGGGTCAGTGATGGGAGTCTCTGGTCAGTGACAGAGCCTGTAGGATCAGCTATGGTGATCGGTGAGGACTGTAATCAGCTTGCTTTCTAACCTGAGTTGAACGTTCAGCGTTTTAATTTTCAGTCTTCTTTAATATAAAAATTCTCAAGTTTTGGTGAATCTTTGTATAAAAAATTGTTCAAATCTAAGTGTTTTTTTTTTCTTTGATCCATGAGTTATTTAGAAGTTCCTTGTTTGTTTTAAGTAATGTCTGTTTAATGCTCAAATTGAAAAGTTGCCTTATGACCTAGTTCGTGGACAGTTTTCATGAATGTCACATCTATTACATAAAAACGGTGTACTATGTTCTCTGATTGTATTGTTATAGATATTAATTAAGCATATATTAAAAAAATCTGTCTTCTCACAGATTGTCTGCTTAATTAATTAGAGGAAGGTAAAGTAGTCACTCTGGAAAGGTTCTTTGTCCATTTGTCCTTCCTTCTTTTTCTGCTTTATATATGTGAAATTATATTATTAGGAACAATTGTGTGCACTTTATTTATTTATTTATTTATTTATTTATTT